TGTGAGTTGAATCCTTCTGAACCAGAATTAGGGCCTCAATAAAAGAGGCCCAAGAGAGACCCGTTCCCCATGCCACTATGTGACAACACAATGAGATGGCATGATCTATGAGCCAGAAAGCAGTCTCTCACCAGACACTGAATATGGCTTGATCCTGGACTTCTCAGCCTCTAGAACTGTGAGAAATAATTTCTCTTGTTTATAAGCCACCTAGTTCATGGTATTTTGTTAGAGCAGCCAGTTCAAATGGAACTAAGAAAGAAACTATTTAGTTAATCTATTTAGTTAAAGCCCTTTATCTTATAAATAAGGAAAATGAGACTCTGGGTCACAAGGCTATTTTACGGCAGAAAGATCAGAACACTGAGATTCTGTTACTTCCTCATCACACTACTACATTTTAAGAAAACAAAATTCTGGTACATTTCTTAAAATTCAGAGGTGCTGATTTTTTCCTTCTTCCGTGTATTTATTTCTTCAGAGGACATGCATCCAATCAATTTATTACTTTGGCTGATAAGCGCTCATCAAGCTCTGCCCATTTACTCATTTATTCTGCATGCTTGATTTTTTTTCCCCAGAGGTCATTTTTTAAAAAATTATGTTTTAAGCATTCTTAAACAGCCTAAGAAAACATTTTACCCTGAAAGTGAATTCAGAATACATGTGCTTATTACTAAAGCAAGGACTATGCTTACCAACCCACCATTGTTAGTGAGAATTTAGAATCTTGGCTGACCTCTTACAGAGGTAAAAATCCACCCTTGGTGGGAACAGCTGCGACTGTGAAAGAAGCTACAAATAACATGCTGGGAATTCAGCAGGCACTGTTATTACATCCTGTTTATACTGTCATTTTTCCTATCAGTAGGATATTATTTATACAGACCCCACCCATGAACTTCTTGTTTATCTTATTATAGAAATCCTCCGAATCTATAAAAAGAAACTTCTGTATTTGTTTCTGGAACATGCACATGTGTTATAATTTTGTACCTCATTACACTTTTTTATTTAGCATTTTCTTTTGTTATGCACCACTCGTTCTCATTTTTAATCTCAAGGTTGACTCATTTCACATATTAGAGTTGAACTTACATCTTTTAAAGAGAACTTGTTATAAGATTCAGGAGTACCACCACATCCTAAACCTTAAGGTGGATCAGGTACTATTTTTTGAAGACGCACTTGACTAATTTGTTTAAAGATAGAAAAATGCATATATACACTGATGAGGTACTGCAGGTAGTTAGCTCTGGGTAACCAGAAGGCTTCTATACTCAGGCTCACTCTAATCTAAGTGGACCAACTGCAAGGGCCAGCCTTTAGTTAGTTAGTAACCTCACTATTCTCTAGCTAGATCTCTTCTCTGCAACGAAAAGCCTTGCCGCTGAGTTTAGCTTGATGGCTGGGCAGGCTGGGATAAAAACATAACACACCATACACAAAAAACATAGGAATTCAGTAAGTTGACCAAGAGGACAATGAACCAATCTGGTTATCAATCATCCTCATTCCCCAGGCCTTATATAAACAACTGAAGTAAATGAAATAAAAATGTAAGTTCCTTAAGGGCAAAAATTCACACAGCATTTGTTGAGCAAGTAAATTATTATTTTTGGAGAGGGCATGTCACTGAACAAAGTCACTGGACTAATTTTCATATGTATAGCTTGTGTTTGCATCACCAGTTCTCCTCTTAACACTACAAGGCAGCTAGGTAAACAAGAAATGTTCAGAGTACATGTACAATGCTAGACTCTTTGTGTAAGGAAAGGTCACTCTTGAAGAACACTGCTCTAAAAATGCATAACTAAAATGTGTACTAAACCTCCAGGTGGAGAACTAAGTGTAATTAATTTCAGAAAAAAAGAGATGTCTGCAAGGACTAAAGTGGTCAAGAAGTTAGAATGAGGGTTAATAGCTGAGATAATCTTGATAAACAAATTGGTAGAACTGAGATGAGAAGGTGAGAGGTATCCTTGGGACAACCAAAACTCTGGAAGCATCCAACTGAGCAGAATTCTGGAAATAGCAAATAGTGAAATTCAGCTGGGGGCATACTGAATAGAAGATGGCAAAAAAGAGAAGGCTGGAGTCCGATTACAATTTTTTTTTTTTTTTAAATTTGAGATGAAGTTTCACTCTTGTCCCCCAGGCTGGAGTGCAATGGCGCGATCTCGGCTAACTGCAACGTCTGCCTCCTGGGTTCAAGCGATTCTCTTGTCTCAGCCTCCCAAGTAGCTGGGATTACAGGTGCCAGCTACCACGCCCAGCTAATTTTTGTATTTTTAGTAGAGATGGGGGTTTCACCATGTTTGCCAGGCTAGTCTTGAACTCCTGACCTCAGGTGATCTACCACCCTTGGCCTCCCAAAGTGCTGGGATTAAGAAATTTCAGTTTTTAGACAACAGAAAATCATCAAGGATATCTAATCAAGGGAAGATGAACCCAAACTTCTGGAGTAGAAATGAAGAGGACAAGAACAAGTTGGGGTGAGGCTGAATTGGGGAAAGAAGTTTGTAACACTACCAAATTCCATAGTTATGGCAGCAAAAGAAAGGTCCACGTGGTACAATAGATAAAAAATGTGTAAATGTATTTTCAGTTCTTGCTTGCAAAAACAGGAGATGATGCCCAGGTGCCACGGTGCCTAACACCTGTAATCCTAAGAGCTCGACTAGCCTGAGCAATATGGTGAAACCTCATCTCTACAAAAAGTAAAAAACAGGTGGAGAGTGGTGGCTCATACCTGTAATCACAGCACTTTGGGAGGCCGAGGTGGGTGGATCACCTGAGCTCTGGAGTTCGAGACCAACCTGGCCAATATGGTCAAACCCTGTCTACTAAAAACACAAAGATTAGCCAGGAGTGGTGGGAGGTGCCTCAAATCCCAGCTACTTGGGAGGCTGAGGCAGGAGAATCGATCGCAGGGAAGCAGACATTGCAGTGAGCCCAGATCACACCACTGCACTCCAGCCTGGGTGACTGACTCTGTTTAAAAAAAAAAAGAAGTAAAATATAAAAATTAGCCAGGTGTGGTGGTGTACAACTGCAGCCTCAGCTACTCAGGAGGCTGATATGGGAAGAGCCTAGGAGGTGGAGGCTGCAGTGAGCCATGATTACACGCCACAGCACTCTAGCCTCGGCAATAGAGCGAGACCCTGTCTCAAAACCAAAAACAAAACAAAAATAAAAACGGGATGGCATCATGACTATTACCATGAGGTAATGTTAATGCCAATCCATTGAAGTTAATGTCAGTAAAGTTTACCAGTAGCCTACAATAGTATTTCTCAAACTGAAATCACCTGGGCTTCTGGTTAAAATGTAAATTATGTTTCAGCACATTTAGAGCAGTACTCAGTATTTTCACAACTCTAGCAAGCTCCCAGGTGATGCCAATAATGCTGTTCCATGTACTATATTTTGAGTAGCAAGATGGAAAAACACATCTTTCAGTTTCCCTTTCCAAAAAAGGCAATACTATGTATAATGCATCATGTTTAACCCATTATAGTTTACCCAATGCCTTTAGATATGCTCAAGAAATGCTTTTTAAAGGTATTTTACTATGATTTGCATTAATTAAGGTTGGATGGGTTTCAAAGCTACTATTTTAAAAGTCCAAAATGATTCAATATTCAGGGAATTCAATACACTAAGAAATACTTCTACTTAAAAAGTATCAGTGTTGCAATGCTATTGTATAACACAATTTTGTCTTTTTTAGTTTTAGGCTGGCAAACTGAAAGATACTATTGCTTCTAGTCATGGAGGCTGAAATGTAAGTACTGAAAGACAACATTTCATCTTTTTAAAGCCCACATCAGTGAGTTTCACTAAAACCTACTTGACTTGTCCTTACATTGCATTAGGCACCGTAACTTGGTCCTTGAAGATAAAGGTTACAACATATTTTAAATATCCTATAGAAAAACACCTAAATACTGCAACAATTAAACTAACACACTGTCCTTTGGTGTATATATAAGACTGCTACACAGAAAGACACTGTTAATTATTTTACCATAAACAAGTTTGTTTATAAAAATATATTACTAGTGTAATATATTAAACACATACACACTAGAATATCTTAAAATCAGAAGGTATTTTTGAAGACCAGATCCAACTATTTCATTGTAGAAGGAAGAAAGCTGAGGCACAGAGGCTAAAAAACCCAAATTCACATAGCCAGCTAGTAGAATGTTAATAAAAGGAAAATTAATTTTTGTTATCTATTAATATATAAAGCACAACAATGAAGCAACTACAAAATGTAGTTGAAAGAGTTTCTGGTTCTCCTAATGACTAAGGTCCAGTTAATTTTTTTAAGGGTCTTAGAAATCACTGGGATCTAAGAAAGAAAGATCACACATTAACAAAGAAAAGACATCTGCCCCCAAATTTAAGAACTTCATAAAAAATGCAATCTGAATAGAGAATGACACATATACACCACATACTAAGGATGGGGCTTGGGTGGGGGTGGAGAATGGGATGGGATATAAAGAACAAAGAGAAGACAATGGTAACTCTTCTCAGTAATGTTTCAAGGAATGCTTTTACATATGGAAACTGGTTTAAAAAACAACTTTCTTTACCCTCATGAATAATTTTTTAACTGGTATAATCAGAGACTATATTTGGAGGACTACAAAGCTTTTAAAAACATAACAGTATAGAAAGCAGTTGGATGTGCATGTGTCATACACTGTTACAATTAAAAGCAAACTATGGGAACCTTTTTTAGCCACAAAATAGGGAATTTTGTGCTTATTACAAATGCTATAAAATTTATTAGCACAAGTAAAAAAAAGTCACTAGAGAAGTTCGGTGATATTGGAGACAAAGGGTTTTAAATCACAGGCATACATTATTATGCCTAAGTTGACAGATCTGCACTGCAGTGCAGAAATGCAAGCAATATTCCAACATCTGCACCAGAAGGCACAGACTAGACATGATTCCAGAATAAAGGGCTCTTCAGCTCTTACCTGTTACCTGTGCAACAACTGCTTGGGAAATCCTCCGATTGGCAAGAAAGGCTTTGATTTCCTCTTTTATCACACTGCTGTCCCTCCTAACAAAAACAGAAGACAAGACCAACAATGTATGTTGAAGGTAGAAATCCTCATCTTTGCTAAAAGAAAGGTGAAGCAGAGAGGTGGGGAGAACACAGAAAGGACACAAAAATAAAAGGTAAACAGACCAAACTTGTGTGAAAATATGAAATTACAATGAACCAAGAAACACCAAATATTGCAGTCCTAAAACATCACACCATCAGACAGACGCTTTAGTGAAGACCACAGTAGATATAAGTCTCATACCAGAGGATGGTTAATCGCATGCTCTGTATAATTCACATTAGGAACAAGGCTGTCATATGGTATATACAAAGTTTCATTACTGGGGAATGAGTGTATCTTACACAGACAGAAATCCTAGAAAAATAAAGAGCAACAACAACAAATTCAGTTGTGAGCAGATTGTGGGCTTGCATGTTAACTACACAACTGCATGAATAATGTTCACTTAAAAACCTTTAAAATGATTAAGGAAAAAGAAATCATCATTCTCACAACTGTAAAAATGTTAGCCATCTGAAGAAAGGCTTTGCTCTTTAACTTCTTTTCCTGTATAAACAAAAAATTTAAAGTGGGATGAGCTGAATATAAAGTTTTAGTATTAAAAAGTCATTTATTCATTTTGTATAGTATATAAGAATACTTAAAACTATACAATATTCAGTGTCCTTGATATTATATTATAGACCTCATTTTTCCTCCACTAAAATGCCTGTAACAAATTTTTAAAGACTCAACAAATTCTCAAAAGACTAGACATTCACAAGAATGACAATGAATGGCAAGACTTCTGTTTCTCCACCAGAACAAGTATTAATAAACAAAAATTATAGTCAAACCCTTAAGACTGACCAATTTCTCGCTGAATGCTTTATCTTCAAAAGGATTACATAAATAGAGCAGTGGTTTCTGTTCAAGCTCAAAAGTAACACAGAATAGAGGTAACTTCTTATCTAACACAGGGTCAGCAAATTATGGCCTATGGGCTACTTCTGGCCTGCCACCTATTTTATACAACCTATGAGCTAAGAATCATTTTCAGAGATGAACATTTGCAATCAATTTGATGACAGAAAATGCTAACAATAAACACAAACTAAGCAAAATATCCCTCCCCCTGCAATTTCCTTCTATATTTTCAAAAACTGTACCCAGTTATTACTATTCTGCATTGACTTTTGTCAACAGAAATTTGTGGTTGTTTGTTTTCTGTCTTGTATATGTCTCTACATTATATCCTTTTTTTTTTTTGAGATGGAGTCTCACTCTGTAGCCCAGGCTGGAGTGCAGTGGCAGAGTCTTGGCTCACTGCAACCTCTGCTTCCTAGGCGTAAGCAATTCTCCTGCTTCAGCCTCCTGAGTAGCTGGAATTATAGGTATGCACCACCACACCTGGCTAATTTTTGTATTTTTAGTAGAGATGGGGTTTCACCATGTTGGGCAGGCTGGTCTGAACTCCTGACCTCAAGTGATCCTCCTGCCTTGGCCTTCCAGAATGCTGGGATTATAGGTGTGAACCATTGTGACCAGCCTATGTCTCTATATTATAATTTTGCCTCTTGGCCAAAAAGTCTAGAATTCTGACTATCTGGTCCTTTAGAGAAGTTTGTTGACTCCTGATCTGAGACAAAGGGATCACAAAACCTTAACAATTGTTTTGTGAAAGAACCAGAAACTCTTTCAAGGGGTTCACAGCTCTCCATAGACTATTTGGAAAAATTAAAGCATCCCATTCAAAAAACAGTGAGTTGTCATTTAACTTGGATGAGGTATTTTAGATCATCCAGACGAATAGTTGTTACATGATCTATTGTAAGGACTCTGTTGTAAATCCATGCTCCTTTTGGGAAATTTTGGAAAATAACAGAGAGGTGATTACAATCTGTAGCTCCACAGTATACGGCTGATCTATCTGTTGGAAATCCCAATAAAAATTATTCCTAAAGAAAAAAAATAATCAAATGCCTAATGCAGTATTTAAAATTTCTCATACTGATCTAGATTCTGGTTAGATCTACTTCCCAAAATGCCTGCCTACATTTGAAATATTTCTTTGAAAAATAGGCATTCACATTTTATTTTAAAATTGTGTATACGAAAAAGAAAAAGGTACAAATAAATATGTTTTAAAGTCAAACAAAATAATTGCTGACTAAAATGCAGGTAATGTAGAACAAAAGCTTTCTAATATGCATCGATAATCAATGCACAAGAGGTAACTTCAGCACTATTTCAATTGGCTTATATAAATAAAACAATGAAATCATTTGGTTTCTAATATAAATATAAAATTAATCTGAAATTTGCATTTATATATAGAACGATCCTACAGAGAAATGAAACTGAATTTAAGAGGGGATTTCTTCAGGTTAAATCAAAAAATGAACTTTTATGGGGGAAAATAATTCAATGGGGTTTTCTGACTACTAATTTACATTGAAATTTAAATCAATTTATTTTAAATCAAATTCATCTACAGTAGACACTAAATCATATAGAGGAGATAAGTCAATTATTGCAATAAGAAATATCCAGTTCGTAAATTATTCATAGCCTTGAAGCATGATATACATTACTAAGGACTGTACAAGACAGAAGGAACCCCGAAAATCTGCCAAACAGTAGCAATTCGCAGTTTTAGATATTTGACAAGTTTCTAAGTACCGATGTTTTAAAAAACGGAAATGGCCAGGCATGGTGGCTCACAACACCTTAATCCCAACACTTTGGGAGGCGGAGGCAGGCATATCACTTGAGGTGAGGAGTTTGAGAACAACCTGACCAACATGGTGAGACCCCCGTCTCTAACAAAAATATTAAAAAACTAGCTGGGTGTGGTGGTTCACACCTGTAATGTCAGTTACTCAGGAGGCTGAGGCAGGAGAATTGCTTGAACCCTGGAGGAAGAGGTTGCAGTAAGCCGAAGTCGTGCCACTGCATTCCAGCCTGGGTGACAGAGCAAGACTCCGCCTCAAAAAAAATAGAAATAAAAAAATCTTCACTGCTTTACCAGAGAGTTTTCTCAAAAATCAAAACAAAAGACTTAAAAAATAAGGGTGTGCATGGGCAAATCATTTAACAAAGCTGAACCCCTGCTGTTTCATCTAATAAAATAAAAGCATTGGCCAGGTGCAGTCACTCACTCCTGTAATCCCAGAACTTTGGGAGACCAGCCTGGGCAATATGGTGAAACCCCATCTCTACTAAAAATATAAAACCTAGCCAGGTGTGGTGGCACCTGCCTGTAATCCCAGCTACTTGGGAGGCTGACACAGGAGAATTGCTTGAACCCAGCGGGTGGAGGCTGCAGTGAGCCAAGATTGCGCCACTGCAATCCAGCCTGGGGTGACAGAGTGGAACTCCATCTAACAACAACAACAACAACAACAACAAAACAACAACAACAAAAAGTATTAATACCCCTTTCACAAGGCTTTTAAAATTTTTCTCCTAGCAATGAAATTAAATATACCTGTCTGTAATACACCATGCTACAAAAACATTGACTATTATTTTATAAAAATTCAGAAAAGTTCCCATGAAAAGAAGAAACAACTGATCTGCTATAATCACATAAGACTGAAGTAAACATCTATACCAGGTACTTTAAGGTAGCATTAAGAGTTCTATACACAAGCCGTGATAGGTCATTTAGTTGGTTTCACTAGTTATTTTCAAAATAGTAAATATATTCTACTTTCATTGTGTCCAATTCTCTTTTAAGTATTTTTAAAAGTTCCATGCTAGCAGTTTAGCTTTGTTGTTCAAACTTCGACATCACCCTTTACCTCTGCCACCGCCACCCTGCCTTATTCTCTCCTCATTCAGCCTTCTTTAAGGACCTGCTACTACCATTGTCCTCACTGTAATCTATGAAATCACCACTTTATTAAGTGTGAAGGGAAACTTCATTTACTCTAAATCTAATTCTCTCATTTTCTCCCACCCCTCATTTCTTTCTTCATCTGTAATTTAACATCCTCCTTAAAAAGAATGTATCCTCTCCTTCCTCTCTTCTAAAATCTCATACTCTTCAAGAAGATTTCTGTGCCTCAAGTCTTACGGGATTAAAATGAAGAGTAGGGTGATCTTGTCTTTGATTCTGTGGCTTACTTCAAATATAAGCTACTTACTTGATTTGCATCTAACCAGTTTAAGTCCATGTCATTTCCTCCTACTGACTTTTTCAAATTATTGCCATCCTAGATTCATCTGGATGATTTCCACACCAGGATGAAATTCTTCCCTCTTACCCTCCATTGCCATTATTTTTATAACTTGCTAAACTTTCCACTGTTACCTATAGACCATTCTTAGTGTCTGGATGAATTCATCAGTGATGCTTCTTTATGGAATCACCTTTTACTAAGGCACGATTTAACTGTCATCTATTCAAAGAAGTTCTCCCTGATCTTAACAGCTTATCTCTTTTTGCAATGGCTAACTTTAACATTTCAATATTACTACTCACATGCTAATACATTACATGCTGTTCTGTATTATAGTTGTTCCTAATCTTATCTCTCCTACTACCCTGTAAAGTCCTGTAGCACAAAGATTGTGCCTTATTCATTATGGGGTTTGCATATAATAGAGCTTAATTTGTTCAATGAATGAAAAAATCTGTAGTTGGAGATAAAAGCTTGAAAAATGGAAAGCCTGATCTAGATAATTTATAAAACAGCTTTAAATTTTTATTCTCAAATAGACTTAAGCTTACCAAATCAGACAGGAAAAGAATTATTTACAGTAGTTCAAAATGACATTGCTTCTTTTTCTAGAACAAAGAATACTAAAGACCACCTGTGTTAAAAAATAATATGCTTTAAGATCTTCCATATTTTCATAGTTAATATACACTGCACATTCTTTAGGATCTCTTAAAGGTAATCACCTCTCTCAAAGACTTCCAGGGATGAAGCAACATGTACCAAGACAGACTATTTCACACTTGGAAAAATACAATGATGTACAAATTTCTTTCACGTTTGAATAAAACTTTTTCCCCATAAATTTTCACCCATGGAGATAAAGTATAACCTTAAATTTTAAAAAACAACTCAAAAATAAAAGTTACTATATATGTATCAATGACATAATAACTGGAATCATGACCATCTTGTCTTATCTACAGAACATGCACATCCTACCTATGCAAGTAAAATACTTGGCCTATAGATAACCAACTTAGAATAAAGTCTCAAAGTTTTAAACAAAATACTAACATCATAAAATTTAGTACATGGGTGGTTAACAGTAACATCTTTAATGTGTGGCATTATTAATAAATTCTGATAAACTTCATTTAAATTATTTCATAATATGTATCTAAAACACACATTAGTAGCTATATGCTATTAGCAGATGTGTATATACACACACCCCTACACATATATTTACATATTAATAGATGCATTTTTAAACATTAAAATGTAAAATAGGTCTTTATTTTTGGCTTTGAAGTCCTTCCTAAAGTGTTATATTCAACAATCTGTTAACTTCATATGCTAGTTTACCTTTTTTTTTTTTAACCCTAAATCAAAAATGAAAAAAATCAAAGTTACTTTCTCACTCTTTCTTAATGAGTTGATATGGTATACAATTATAACTTGATGAAGTTCTACAAGAAAATCTCCATTATGGGCTGAGCGCAGTGGTTCACACCTGTAATCCCAACACTTTAGGGGGCTGAGGTGGGCAGATTACTTGAGTCCAGGAGTTCGAGACCAGCCTGGTCAACATGGTGAAACTCCATCTCTACTAAAAATGCAAAAAAAATTAGCTGGGGGTGGTGGTGTATGCTGTAATCCCAGCAACTTGGGAGGCTGAGACACGAGAATTGCTTGAACCCAGGAAATGGAGGTTGCAGTCAGCCAAGACTGCAACACTGTACCAGGGTGGGTGACAGAGTGAGACTGTCTTTAAAAAAAAAAAAAAAAAAAAAAAGGCCGGGCGCGGTGGCTCACGCCTGTAATCCCAGCACTTTGGGAGGCCGAGGCGGGTGGATCACGAGGTCAAGAGATCGAGACCATCTTGGTCAACATGGTGAAACCCTGTCTCTACTAAAAATACAAAAAGTTAGCTGGGCATGGTGGCGCGTGCCTGTAATCCCAGCTACTCAGGAGGCTGAGGTAGGAGAATTGCCTGGACCCAGGAGGCGGAGGTTGCGGTGAGCCGATATTGCGCCATTGCACTCCAGCCTGGGTAACAAGAGAGAAACTCCGTCTCAAAAAAAAAAAAAAAAAAATCTCCATTATGTATCTCGAAATTCTTAGGAGTTAAGTTTGTAAAGTCAAGGAATTACAAGATTTTTTAAAATGTGTCTTGTGTTTGAGTTGAGGAATATGAATAAGCAAGAGGTGAAGCACACAGGTAGAAAAGGAGACAGCAAGGCATTCAGGTACCCAGGCTCCCCTACCCAAGACCACCACTTCCAATGGGCTATAGTATCACCATAGCGTCTAGTGATCAGCAAGGGCAGTACATTGCTAAAAGGGCACGGAATACTCAGAAATATCCACTGCTCAAAATATTTCTCTAACATTCCACTAAATAAAAATTCACTTGGTTAGTAAGTGATCATTTTGAAGTAGCAAATATCATGGGGGAGGGGGATGCAAAGCCCATTATGGCAATTCATACTATGTCTTATGTTAATTAACCACCTTCCCTAAAATCTTAGCAAAATCTACAGACATGAAAAATTTATTTAGAGAGGCAATGTACACCAGTGACATATTGATAATAAAGATATAATTTAGACTCTGCCAGTTAATATTTAAGTTCTCTTGGGAAAAGTATTTAATTTTTGTGAATTTCAGTTTCTTTGATGAACCTCACATTATGGTTGTAATGATTACAAGTGAGACTGTCATCCAATAAACTTTCCCACTGACCCAAGGATTGTTGTCACCTACAACCGGAGAAGCGTGAGAGGGGACACAATGGAGGAAGGCAGGAGTGCAGCAGTGGGTTAGAGTGCAATGGCAGAGGACCAGAGAGATCCAGAAGGGCCACTGACACCCTGAGATGATCAGGAGAACCCAAAGCAACAGTTCTAATAAAGAAGCAGAGAAACGGAAGAAGATGAAGTCTCCTGATTATACAACAAGTGATAGTATATAAATACTGATAAGTAGAAACCTGTGTATATTTTACAGTAAACCTGGCATGTATGTAATTATGGGATTTAAATACAAATCCCAGTCATTGCTAAATAGGTTTATTATTTTGAGCATACAGTTGAATTAAAACAGGTCAACCTATGAGTTAAAAGTCAAGTTTTTAGACCCTTATTATTCTGAACAATCTTCCAGAGGCTTTTACTAATGAGTTTTCCCATACTTCTTGTTACTCTCATACACATTTAAGAATTAACTATTAGGCCAGGTGCAGTGGCTCATGCCTGTAATCCCAGCACTTTGGGAAGCTGAGACAGGAGGATCACCTGAGGTTGGGAGTTTGAGACCAGCCTGACCAACATTAAGAAACCTCGTCTCTACTAAAAATACAAAATTCGCCAGGCGTGGTGGTGCATGCCTGTAATCCTAGCTATTCGGGAGGCTGAGGCAGGAGAATCACTTGAACCCAGGAGGCAGAGGTTACCATGAGCCAAGATTGTGCCATTGCACTCCAGCCAGGGCAACAAGAGTGAAATTCCACCACAAAAAGAAAAAAAAAGAACTGCTACGTAGAAATCTTATCAAAACTGATTAACAGGAACACCACCAAAAAAACCAGGTTGGCACCCTTTTAAAATTGATGATATCCTCTCTACTCAGAATAACTAAAAGCTAACCTTGTTATGTTTCAATGGGCAAAGTAACTTTTATTTGCCCAAATAGTTCTTGCTCTTAACAATCTTACATTCAAAATCAATACCTGAAGTTTGGTCACGTATTTTAACACATGAAAAGGAATTCAAAGCCAAGTTAATCTCTTATATTTTTACTTTTAAAGAAAATTAGCCTGCATGGTGGCACACACCTGCAGTCCTAGCTACTCGGGAAGGTGAGGCAGGAAAACCACTTCAGCCTGGGAGGCAGAGGTTGCAGTGAGCTGAGATCACACCACTGCACTTCAGCCTGGGTGACAGAGTGATACTCCGTCTCAAAAAAACACAACAATAATTGCTTGTAACTCTAACTGCTGTATCAAACTATTAATTACATAAACTATTAACATGACAGTGGAATCCATATACAATAGTCAATTTAGTTAAGAATTTCATTTTTAGAATTTCCACCTAAAAATAAATTCAGGACAATTTATTTGTTTGAAGGATATTTCAGCATTGTGGGTCTTCAGGACAGATCTTCCATGTGGCAATATTAAGTCACTATTATTCCATCTTGAAGTTTAAAAATCTTTTTTTTTTTTTTTTTTTTTTTTTTTTTGAGACGGAGTTTCGCTCTTGTTACCCAGGTTGGAGTGCAATGGCGCCATATCGGCTCACCGCAACCTCTGCCTCCTGGGCTCAGGCAATTCTCCTGCCTCAGCCTCCTGAGTAGCTGGGATTACAGGCATGCGCCACCATGCCCAGCTAATTTTTTGTATTTTTAGTAGAGACGGGGTTTCACCGTGTTGACCAGGATGGTCTCAATCTCTTGACCTCATGATCCACCCGCCTCGGTCTCCCAAAGTGCTTGAGCCACCGCGCCCGGCCCAGGTCCTATTTTTATTTCTGACAAATTCCTGCTATAGTTTCTTTCATTATCTACTGTAACTAATTTATCTGTAGGCTCTTTTGCTTCTATGGCAGTGGAAATCTAGTGAAAATAATACTTTTATCATCTCTATTCCTAGAGGAGTTTATACAAAATGCCTCAATTCCAAGAAAAGTAAATAAACTAGTATGGAACTCAAAGTCTCCCAAAACCTGTATTGTCTCCTAATATATTATTCTTATTACATTGTCTTACCCATCAGTAATCTTTATCAGCCTAAAGACACGGCTTGCCTTTTCTGCCCTTTACTATCCCTTAACTTCAAATAAAGTTCCGGTATTTTAAAAACAAATGCTATTCTTTAGCATTTAGGTCAAGGTCACCCTTCACTGAACATATTAGGCCCTTACCATGTGCCAAAGAAAGTTCCAGATCCTGGAGGCCCAATATAAAACACATGGTGTTACCCTCAAGGAGTCTCAGGTCCACAGTGAAGCCTTTCCTAATTACGTCTGTTGAAAGTGGTTTTCTCAGTGTTTAAAATTCTAAGTGCTTAAACTTATAAAAGACAATGTGTGTGTGTGTGAGTGCATACGCATGTCCGTTGCTAAAATTAAAACCTATGTAATAGGTACCCCGTGTGTGTGTGTGTGTGTGTGCGCGCGCGCGTGCGTGCCATCCATTGCTAAAATTAGAACCCCACATAATAGTTACCCCAAATTATTTTCTTGATTGGAATGTTGGAGAGAAAAGTTAAGAGTGTATATATTCTGTATAAAAATTATCCCTCAGAAAAAGTGCTTACAACAGATTTAAGGATTAGAATGTGTCTGTTTTTCAGAAATTAGCTATTAAGAGTCATAAAGAAGACTGGTGTTTGATAGAGAGAGAACAGAAAAGGTTTATCAAGCAGCAAAGAGAAAGGGCTGAAGTAAAGAAGAGAAAATTTAAATTAAAAACATAAAACCTGAACTTTCTTTCATCTCCAAAGGCAAGAAGAGGAAGTTATAACAGTTTCTACAGCTAAGTAGCTGAAATGCAGCATACTACCTAAAAACAATCTAAGAACACATTTTTAGGGACTCTGAATAAGCAAAGTCACTAACCTCATTAATTCCTCCACTTTATCATCTACATCTAGGTCCTCTTCTGAGGCTTCAAAACTGTATGACCTCTGACCCATGCTGTTTGCATGGTAGCGAGTTGGTGACATCTTTCCATTGGACGTAGATAATCGCTCATTATTCTCCCTTCCATTTTGATTGGTAGTGCAAGGCTGTGGGGAAGTATCATAACTGTTGCTAGGTGATGGGGACATTCCCGAATGCTGCGTCTGTGTGGAAGCTGTAGCTGTAGAGGAAGATGCTGGGACATTGTTGGTACTATTCCCATATGAACTTCCTCCATAGCTGGACCTTCTTCCAAACTTATCACTATGCTCTTGATCAAGACGGTCCAAAGTTTCCAAGGCATGGAGAATTTCATGTTTAGTCATTCCAGTACGCCGAAGGCGCTGAAGCAGATCTATCTGCTCTATGGTAAATCTGGGTTCATCTGTATAATGAGACATGGTTTCCAGCAAACTGAAAAAAAAAAGATAAAGTCTCTTTATTGACAGTATCTACTAAAGCACATATCATTATAGAGAATGCTCAGCAGAAGCTGCAATATTTCTACATAAACTTCTTTATTGAAAATTAAGGTATGTTCCACGCTAGAATGTTTTTTGCCTCAGCAAATGGATTGGTACAGTTACTATATGTATTACTAGGTGAACATGGGCATAACATAAAACCTAATTTCATATGGCATACAATTTATATTTTCCTCAGTTTTGGTAAATATCAGAACCAAAATATTAGTTATGTAAATAATACCAAAACAACAGATGAGGTACATATAGGGCATAAGCCCAGGCTATGTGACAGCTCACAAGTGTTTTGTCTATCTCAAGTATATTATTCCATATTATTCATGGAAAATTGCTGAAAAATGTGTTTATATTACATTATTTACCAAATATTAGCTAAACTGACCTAGGAATTCTCTAGAACTTCATTTAGTGAAAACAAGTAATTTGCTAAGCAAAGTCCAAGAAAATGCTAATAACCAGCAAAAATATTTAAGTGGAAAAGAGAGGTACATTTTTAAAAAAAATTAAGCACCATTTCATCTACTACTTAGCAATTTCTTACGTTTTTCATCTCTGGTAATGCATTCTCTGTTAATAACTACACTGAGAAATAGATCTTTTGTGGTTGTAGCCAAACAGAGCTATTCATTTTTCTTAGGAAATTGCTTCTACATGTTTCCTTTAACTAGTACAAGATACTGCAGCATATCAGAAAATGTCTTCTTAGAGAGAATAATAATATTAAGAAAGCAGTCAAATACTGTAAAAATTCTCACTACTTTAATTCCTTTTTTTTTTTTTTTTCTGATACGGAGTTTCACTCTTGTCATCCATGCTGGGGTGCAACAGCATGGCATGTTCTTGGCTCACTGCAACCTCAGCCTCCTGGGTTCAAGCCATTCTCCTGCCTTAGCCTCCTGAGTGGGACTACAGGCACCTGCCACCAAGCCCAGCTACTTTTGTATTGAATACATCTCCTCCTCTCAAAGTGCTGGGATTACAGGCAACAGCCACTGTGCCCAGCCTTGAATTCCTTTCTCATAAGACCTGACTCTCTCATTCAAGATTTTTTAAAGTGGTAACCTCTTTTATTTTGATTTTTATTGTTCTAGTGCCAAATATAATGCATGACATGTAGTAGGCTCTCAATAAATGTTTGCAGATGGAAATAGATGTCAAGGAATTTTTTCATCTTTCTCAAACAAACATCTGCTCTGGGCCAGTGCCCCATAGCTATTAAAGGTCTCACTGTTTCTTCATCCTTCTACACAAAAACTTTTATTAAATGGTTACTTCTAGGCAGTTATTACGTAAGAGGTTCACATAACATAATCTTATCTAATCCTCACAGCAACCCTCTGTGGTAGATGGTCTTTATTCATTTCATTTTATGTTAACAGACTGATTACTGAGGAAACTAAGGCTCACAGTAGTGTTTCGTACCTTACAAAAAATCTGAATGAAAAGTAGGAAAAAGACTTAAGCCTAGATTTTATTGACTCTAAAAGCACACATCATTCTCCTTTCCAATACATTGCAGGACTTAACTGGAAACATGATTTGAGACGCAAGTTGTTCTACTCCTTTAAGTCTCAGTTAAAGCCATTTAGATAAAACTACTGGAATTACTGATGAACCTAGAGGCCTGAGCAGTAATTTTCTACATTTAAAATCCTTGCTCCAACTAAAATTTTTATTGACTTAACAAGTATAAAAAATTGCGGCTTTATTTCATCCCAAATGGACAGCTAGATGTCATGTTTTTACTGAGTATCTGTCTTCTCCTCTGATGTGAAATGCTGCCTTTATCATATACACAATTTCCATATCAATCTGCACTACCTTTGGATTGCCTATTCCATTTCACTAATGTTTTATCTTTCAAATCCTTTTAAAAATAAGTAGGCAGAAACCTAGAACTTCAGATGAAATAGTCCTAGTTTTAAAAAGAAGCTCATTAAATAAAACAAAACCAAACAAACACATTCTGACTCTAAACACGTTGCAGGCCATTTGTGCCCATGGGCCACAGTATCTGCCCTACACCTAGAAATGTTATGGCCTGATTTCTTCCAATACTCTCTTGTGACAAGCTGGCCATCATGCTAAAAAGACCTATTTTCATGATTATTATATTCTTTCTTGATGGCTTAGGTTCCCCCACAATATGTTACAATGAAAATACTTAAACATTCTTTTCCCTTGAAAATGAAGTAGTGCTGTTTGTTGCTATCTTCACTCTTCGTGTTATCAAAATATTTCATAAAGTGATCTTACTTTAGATGACTTCAATAACTTTTTTTATTATATGGACAAAAATCCCCAATCATAGTATTTTCCTATAGTAGTCATATCAGAGCAGTTAGTTATCTGTATACAGTTATTTAAATCATTCCCTGTATGAAGCAGCACTCTGTATCAGCATAAACAAAAGTAAATTATATGAATTTCACCTATTATTGAAAAGTATCCATCCTAATACTTGAATTAGAAATGTCAAAACTAAAGATTTCACAGCATATGAAACAATCTAGTATTTCATGTCATTTCAGAGTCACTGACTATTAGAACCACTTTTATTCCAAAAGTCATAAAAGGAACAACAATAGGCACTTATTACTTTGTCTGCCTAGGACACCTCACTGTTTCTAAGAACATGTTCTTGGGCTATCACTTATAATACCCACCTTCTGGCCAATAGGGTAGGTGCACAAGAAAGCCAAGTCTTGCTCTCCCCAAAATTTTCTAATCAGATGAGGGGAAAGGTGAACAGACACCATAACTGTGCTCAGGTGCAGGAAGACATTAGTCTGGTAAATTCCTCACTACAGGGAAGCAGCTAGTTTGTGGGAGGACGAAGCAGACATGCTAAGAAACATAGAGCAGACCAATGGAGAAAGCTGTGCAGTGCTCACATCCCTTATTCCAATAATCCCTAAGCCCCAACACATCCCTGCTCTTCTTGCTGTTTTGTTTCAGCAGAGAATACATTTCCCTTTATGTTTCACCTTGGTCAAATCAGATGTCTGTGCCCTGCACTGAGAGGCCCCTAATGCAAACAAGACCTAAAGCAAAAAGATCCAAATTGTTAGAATGATCACTTGTATGATCACTACAGAGCAAAATGATTAAGAATATAACAAACAGGATCAAAACATGCATGTGACACTGAAGATACAATATTTTACTGAGAAAATGCTAAGCTCTTCTGTATATTGAGAATAATGTTCCAATGTGTATTAATATAAACAAAAGCATATATACCGGCATTTCAAAATTTTTACCTTAATTTACCTAGTTTAAGCATATAATCATTAAATTATGGCAGTAAATGACCTACAAAGGTCATCTAAGTCCATGATATCAGCAATTCTTTTGTAACAGAAAAAGATAACATGTAAGAATTGAATTTTCTTATGCACAAGGATTGTTCACAGGATAAGGAACATCTTTCACTTTAAATTACTAATCTGAATGCAGACTCAGGCCAACAATAATTGAAAATGATGTGAGAAGAATTTCAACACTGTAATAAGAGACAATTTTAAGGCATAAAAGAACAATTAAATTCAGGAATTACAGCTCAGTTCGTAAACTGATATTCTAAGAAAATGTCATACCATAAGACCATAATAGCACTTTTCACAATATATTTTATCCTGATTTGAATATTTACCTAAACACTGCTTGGATAAGGCATGATCCAGAATATACTTTCATAAACTAAATTCTACAAACATGTAGAGCAAAGGCAGTTAACGCATTCACAAATGATTAACCTTGAAATCACATGGGTAAAAAGGACATTACTATCTTACTTGTAAAGCACCAACAGTTGGTAAAATTTTATTGGATCTTTATTGTAACAGCTTTTTCTTCAGCTGAATTCTGCTGCCTTTATTTTTATTATCTAGAATGACTAGGCAAAATAGGTTAGTTTTGTTTTGCATACATGATATTTACACACTCTCTAGTGTGCATAATTTAACACACTCTAGTGTCAACACACTCTATGCATAATTTAACACACTTTAGTGTCAATCACAGTATTTTTATCCATGAGTGAACTCTCCATCCTCTCAGGAATGTTAACTCACATCTTATCAAAATCCATATATGAGTTACTGTCACAACTACTAGACTTCAAAATACATATACACTCAAGAGCTTAACAGACACTTTGGGAGCTTAGACTGCAGCAGGGCTACTCTCTGTCAGCTGCTTCTCCAAAACCAGAGAGCTCAGGCTGCAACATGCCTCAGAGCTTTTACACCTCACAAACCAGCACCTTCTAGCACTGAGTAGCCTAACATGTGGTTCAGGATCTCAGCTATGGTGGCCAAGCCAGCTTCTCCCAAGAACTGCTCATATAAAGGTACGCTTCCACCTTTAGCCTTCACTTGAACACAGAGGCCTCCTTTCATCATAATTGAAAAAAGAGACTTTAATAGCTTTGGAACACATTCACAATGTGGTTAATGTACCTCATCTATTGAGTGTATTCCCCGTGAAGTGCATCCATGTTACTCTCCCCATCATTAAGTACTGTGAACCCAAGAAAACATTTTCTTTGTACGGCAATAAACACAATGATTCATGAAATGACACTTTGATCATCTTATTTCTACCATATGCAACAAAAATCCAAGTACAAACATGTATGTTTATAGATGGAGATGTAAATTAGTATGGAATGAGGAGAGAACTGGAGACCATTTAGACAAAAACCATTCACTTAAGTAACATTTATTGAATGCCTAGTATGTAACAGATCTTGTGTGAGGCACAGAGGACACAACAAGGAACAAATCAGGCAATAACTCATGGCTTCATGATGCTTACATTCATTTCAATAACCATTAGACACTTGCTATTTTCAACAGCCATTAGACATCTTAACTCTCTTGAATGTTTAGCCATCTATCTCAGAAGCTTCTAGGCTTTGAGCAGTTAAAAATAAGTACTTTTATATTCAATTTAAAATTAATGTGAAGATTCAAAGTTGAAAACAGAAATGGTAAAAGAGAAGGCTGATACATTGAAAACAGCCATTAGCAAATAAACTGTTTAAAAACACGGAGAGGGAAACTAAGGCACAAAGAGATAAGTGCCTTCTCTAGTATATAGCTACTTAGCAGAAAGTCAGGCTACAGTTTACATCTTCAAGGTCTATTCCAGAAACTTTTCACTGTATCACAGAATCTATGAGGTGGGGAGGGTGAGGAACTGTAATGAAAAGCCTAAACAATAAGGAAAATCTCTCTTAATGTCTTCTTACTGTATTATAGAACTGTCAACCAAAACGGAAAGAATTTAGGCAAAGTGGAGACTCCATCAAATTTTAGAAAATACTTATGCTAAAGGCACTCTGCATTAGACTCTAAAGATGCACTTAATGAGCTAATAGATACTTTGTCTTCTCTAATATCTGAAATTCCCGGAATACTTTTATTCAAAGGCCTATTTAATACGAACTGGTGGTTATAGTTCATATTCTAGCACAAAAACACTCTCAACACAATACCACTATCTCAATTTGTATTTTCTGCCTGACTCCAAAGAAAGGCTAGCATATTAGCTAATAGGCTTAACTACATTATCATCCCCCCATCAGGTAAAGGAAAATGGTTAAGGTGCTGTAAGTCTGCAGACAAAAGGCAACAGGAAGGTGTATACTTCCAGTAGTCTGCTTGTCACAAGGAATCTAATACTAGCTCTCTTAAACAGCCATCTATCTAAGCTTTAAGCAGTTAAAAATCAGTAATTTTATATTCAATTTAAAATTAATTTTAAAATTCAAAGTTGAAACAAATGGTAAGAGAAGGCTAACAGATTTAAAAATTCATTTCTCACCACATGATCATGACACTTATTCACCTTAATGTCAAACAGGTATTCCATTGGATCATTTTCTAAAAAAAATCTTTTCAACTCTACAAACATCTGTTGTAAAATCTGGATCATAATCATAATCATAATAACTTTATTATAATGATTGTGAAGATAAAAATCAAGAAGGACTAGATACTTACACCACTGGAAAGGAACTGAGCATACTTTACATGAGGCGGATCAATATCCTTTCCAGAGATGATCTGCGTTATCTACCATTCTGTAGAACAAAGATAGAAAATTGAGAAATATTTATGTTAATCAAGTGTTGAATAAAATTTTAATTATATAACGTATGGATATCAAGAGTTAACACTAGCTAATCATGTTAAATATTATGTCTTCTGATTTGCATTCTACTGCTTTATTCATTAGACACACTTTGACCCTTTTCAATTCAGACAGATCCTCACAAAAAATATCTACTATTCACTGTTTAGAAGCTAAAGATCATAAAGACAACTTATTAGCTGTTTAAAACCATAGTTATAGAGACAATTTCCAGTAACTCTAAACTAAGATTATAAATGAGACAAAAGTTAAAAATGTGGATGTCAAAAACTCACATTAAAATACACATTCAGTATTGAATTACGGCAGAAGTGTCTAACAATGACTAATGATATATGCAAAATGTACAAGGTAAAGTTAGAAATCTTTCACATTTGTATATCCTAAATTGTAGCAATCATGAAGTTCCTGTTATAGATAATCGTCTTGCTGACTTAAAAAACAGGCCGGGTGCAGTGGCTCATGCCTGTAATAGCACAACAAGATGTTATGAATTCTCTCAATTTCACAGAGCTCTTCTGGCAGAGGAGACAGATTATTTATTCTAATTGACAGATGTTTTAAAAATAGATTAAGAACTAAATAAAAAGGGGTTTAAGATCACATCACACTGAGTGCAATGGCTCACACCTGTGATCCCATCTACTCAGGAGGTTGAGGCAGGAGGATCGCTTGAGGCCAGGAGTTCAAGACCAGTCTTGGCAACACAGCGAGGCCCTGTCTCAAAAAACAAACAAACAAACAAAAAACCAAATAAAATCACACAATTAGAATTCCTATTATTTAAAAAGAAGCATAAATAATAAGTGTGGCAATGATGTGGAGAAAACAGAATCCTTACTGGATTAAATGCTGGCTAAAATACAAAATAGTGAAGTAACTATGGAAAACAGTATGGCAGTTCCTCAAAAAACTAAATACAGAATTAGCATATGATCCAGCAATTCCACTCTTGGATATCTATCCAAAAGGAGTGGAATCAGGCTGTGTTCAAAGCAGCATTATCCACAAAAGCCAAAGGTGGGAATATAGCCCCAATGTCCACCGGCAAATAAATGGATAAACCAAATGTGATCTACATACAAACAATAGAATATTGCCTCAGCCTTAAAAAGGAAGGAAATTCTGACACAAAAACATGAATGAACCTTGAAAACATTATGCTAAGTGAAACAACCCAATCACAAAGGGCCAAATATTATATGATTCCATTTACAAGAGGTACGTACAGTAGTCAAAATCATAGAGACAGTAGAATGGTGGGTAAAAGGGGCAAGGAATTATGAGAAGTTATTATTTAAGGGTACAGAGTTTCATTTTGGGAGGATGAAAATATTTTGGAAATCAGTGGTGACTGCTATATACTCTGTGTACGTATTTAATGCCAGTGAACTACATATATTAAAATGGAGATTTTATGGTTTTGTGTGTGTGTGTGTGTGTGTGTGTGTGTGTGTGTGTGTGTATTTTGTTGTTGTTGCTGATGTTATGGAGTCTTGCTCTGTCGCCAGGCCAGAGTGCAGTGGTGAGATCTCAGCTCATTGTAACCTGCGCCTCCTGGGTTCAAGCGATTCTCCTGCGTCAACCTCTTGAGTAGCTGCGACTACAGGCATGCACTACCATGCCCAGCTAATTTTTGTATTTTTAGTAGAGATAGGGTTTCACCATGTTGGCCAGGATGGTCTTGATCTCTTGACCTCCTGATCCCCCTGCCTCAGCCTCCCAAAGTGCCAGGAATGACAGGTGTGAGACACTATGCCTGGCCTGTTACATATATTTCAACACAATAAAAAAAGTAGAACACTATAACAAAAAGTTTATATTAAAAGGCATTAGGGATACAAATTTATGGATCACATTACTAGCTGGATCACATTCAAACACCTGGCCATAGAAAACAAGTAACCTATCAAAAAAAAAAGAGAGAGAGAAAAGCCGGGCTCGGTGGGTCACACCTGTAATCCCAGCACTTTGGGAGGCTGAGGCAGGGGGATAACAAGGTCAAGAGACCATTCTGGCCAACATGGTGAAACCCTGTCTCTACAAAAAAAATACAAAACTTAGTTGGGCATGGTGGCATGCACCTGTAGTCCCAGCTACTCGGGAGGCTCAGGCAGGAGAATCATATGAACCTGGGAGGTGGAGGTTACAGTAAGCTGAGATCGCATCACTGCACTCCAGCCTGGTGACAGAGTGAGGCCCCATGTCAAAAAAAAAAAAAAAAAAAAAAGAAAAAGAAAGGAGAAAGAGAAAGAGAATAATTATACAATTATAAAATATACAGTTTATGACCAAGATATAAGAGTTACAAACACAAGACCAAAGAACATTAGAGGTAATAAAGCAAAAGTCATAACAACATTAATAATTTTGTTTTTAAAAATATTAACGTGAGTTATTTCAGTATACATTTTAGAATGAACAAATATAACTGGAGAAAATTTTAAAAACGGAAATTTGATATATTATCAACAACATAATTTTAAAGATAAAAAGATACTCTGTAAACCTTCTAACGAAGAAGTTTTTTTTTCCTATGTTCATCACCATAACTGATTACAAACTGGGTAAAATAAAACATTTAATTTCATAGATATATAATCCAAAAAATCTAGTAAAAAATGTACAAAAATAAGTATTTATAAACTATAAGATAATCATAAATAACCCTTGGATCAAAGAACTCACAAAGAAAATTATAATCTACATAGCAATACCCTGCGACAAAGAAAAGAGACATTCTTTGTAACAAAAACCCAGGCCAGACGCAGTGGCTTATGCCTGTAATATAAGCACTCTGGGAAGCTGAGGCAGGTGGATCATGAGGTCAGGAGTTCGAGACCAGCATGGCCAACATGTTGCAACCCCATCTCTACTAAAAATACAAAAATTAGCTGGGCGTGGTGGCATGGACCTGTAATCCCAGCTATTCAGGAGGTTAAGCAAGACAGCTATTTGAACCAGGGAGGTGGAGGCTGCAGTGAATGCTACTGTACTTCAGTTTGGGTGACAAAGCAAGATTCCGTCTGAGGGGAGGGGTCAGAAAATCCAAATGTCTAGAAAACTCAAGTAATTACATTTTTTAAAAATTGAAATTAGCTGTGTGCAGTGGCTCATGTTGGTAATCCCGGTGACTCAGGACACTGAGGCAAAAAGATTGCTTGAGGCCAGGAGTTCAAGACTATCCTGGGCAATATAGCAAAACCTCAGTCTCTTTAAAAAATTAAAAAAAAAAAAAACCCTGAAATAAAAGCACTTATTAAAATGAAGTATAATACAATATATTTAAGTTTCTTTAGTTGAGCAGGAAACACCTAAAGAATGGGAAAGAAATTTCATTCACAGTGGTAACTTTTCCCAATATTTATGAATAACTATATTGAGAAAGAAGCCCAAAAGGTTTTCCTTTTAATTTAAAAATAGGACCTAGGCCGGGCATGGTGGCTCATGCCTGTAAAACCAGCCCTTTGAGAGGCTGAGGCTGGCAAACCACTTGAGGTCAAGAGTTCAAGACCAGCCCGGCCAACATGGTGAAACCCCATCTATACTAAAAATATAAAAATTAGCCAGGCATGGTGGCACACACCTGTAATCCCAGCTACTCAGAAGGCTGAGGCAGGAGAATCACTTGAACCCAGGAGGCAGGGGCTACTGTAAGCCGAGACTGTCCCACTGCACTCCATCCTGGGTGACAGAACAAAACTCTATCTCAAAAAAAGATAAATAAATAAATAAAAAAAATAGGACCTAATAGAGCAGAAAAGTTTTTTGTTTTTTTTTTTTTTAATTTTTTTTTTTTAATTTTTGAGACGGAGTTTCGCTCTTGTTACCCAGGCTGGAGTGCAACGGCGCGATCTCGGCTCACCGCAACCTCCGCCTCCTGGGTTCAGGCAATTCTCCTGCCTCAGCCTCCTGAGTAGCTGGGATTTTAGGCACGCGCCACCATGCCCAGCTAATTTTTTGTATTTTTAGTAGAGACGGGGTTTCACCATGTTGACCAGGTTGGTCTCGATCTCTCGACCTTGTGATCCACCCGCCTCGGCCTCCCAAAGTGCTGGGATTACAGGCGTGAGCCACCGCGCCCGGCCGAAAGGTTTTGTTTCTCAACTTTCATTTTAGACTCAAGGGGTACATGTATAGGTTTGTTACAAGGGGATACTACATCATGTTGAGGTTTGGGGTACAAGTGAACCCATCACCCAGGTAGCAGGCATAGTACCCAACAGTTATTTTTTCAAGCTTTGCCCCCATTTCCTCTTTCCTCCGTCTTGGAGTCTCCACGGTCTATTGCTCTCACCTTTATGCCCATGTGTACCAAATGTTTAGTTCCCACTTACATATAAGTGAGAACATGCGGTATTTAATTTTCTGTTCCTAGATGAATTCACATAGGATAATGGTGTTCAGCTGTATCCATGTTGCTGCAAAGGACATGATTTCACTCTTTTTTTTTATGGGTAGTATTCCATGGTGTAAATGTACATTTTCTTCATCCATTTCACTGTTGATGGGGACCTAGGTTGATTGCGTGTCTTTGCTACCGTGATAGTGCTGTGATGAACATGAGGGTGCATGTGTCTTTTGGTAGAAAAATATATAAAATAAAAAAATATTTTATTTATATAATATCCTTTTATTTCCTTTGGAGATACACACACACACACACACAAACTCACACACTCTCTCTATCAATCTCTCTCTTTCTCTCTCTCTCTCTCTCTGTAATTGCTTAGTTCAGTTTTTCTTTTTTTTCTGAGAATTCACTCTTGCTGCCCAGGCTGGAGTGCAATGGGGAGATCTCAGCTCACCACAACCTCTGCCACTCAGGCTTCTGTGATTCTCCTGCCTCAGCCTCCCAAGTAGCTGGGATTACAAGCACCCGCCACCACAGCTGGCTAATTTTGTATTTTCAGTAGAGATAGGGTTTCT